TTGTGGTTGCTAGAAGTTACCCAGCCCGCTTCTTTAATGCTTATGTGTTTAGCTTGTTAAACCAGGAATTTGTAAACTCTTGATCTGACAAAGCTGTTTTCATATTACCTTTAACAGATGCAACATGAGTCAGAAGCTTCCTGGAGAGCTGCAACACTACCTGCAGGTCTACTTGTTTTTCAAGATCTGATCCATCCTATTGAAGGCCAGTGGGTGCAGTTTGGTCTGGGTCATGACTACGGACTAAGGCTGGACAAAATACTCGTGGCTTGCCAACTCGCTCGACTCATGGCCGGCTCAGCTCGGCTTGACTCAGCTTGTTTTAACTTTTTCACGAGTTGAGCTGGAAGTCTAGCTCGCTATTTTAACGAGCCAGCTCGCGAGCTGCTTACGAGCTGAAACGAGCTGAGGCCTATCAGCCTACGACCATGAATCCAGAAGATGATGATGCTGACCTAGAAGTGTACACCTATTTTATTGGTATGTAATCCTTATTTTTAGCTGTTTTATATAAATTTTAATTTTATAATTGTTGTGGTACTTAAATGTTGATTTTATGGATTGTTTTTCAGGGAGAAGATGATGATGGTACATTGAATCTGTGGACTTTCTTAAGTTTGTGGTGGCAAGCAACTAGTTAGTATGCTGGAACTGCATGATCATAGATGAATCAGCTACGTTGCATGGTTGATACTTTTGATGAACCTGATATGTATTAATCATGTATAGTTGCATAATAATGGACATCATCTTCTGAAATTAATATAGCATAAACATTATAAATATGTTTTTTTTGTAGTAGCTCGCAAGCTAAACGAGCCAACTCGAGCTCGGTAACGAGCTGAGCCGAGCTGCCCCTCTAGCTCGTAATATTAACGAGCCGAGCCGAGCCAGCTCGTTAGCCTAACTGGCTCATATTCAGCCCTACTACGGACTCACTCACGGTGCTATAAAGAAAGCTGCCATATTGCACTACAATGGTAACATGAAACCCTGGTTAGAACTTGGGATACGCCGGTACAGGAAATACTGGAAGAGGTACCTGCCGAGGGACGATCCATTTATGATTGATTGCAATGTAAACCCATGATATGGCAACGTTTGCAAGGGATGTCGGGCAATGTTCTGCAAAAATAGCAAGAGTTACTTTGTTGCGTAGGAAATTTGCTCCATTGACGTGCAAAGAAAGAAGACTTTATTCTATCCGAGGGGAGCTCCACCACAGAAATCCTGGTTCCTCAAGATGTTACTGAGTTGAGGAGGAAATTTGCTGTGAATTTATGCAGACAGGCTGTCATATTCGCTGATAGATGTACAGTTAGATCGGAAAAGGTTGCTGGGTTGCATAGCAACATCACAATTTGTGGGGAGTGTTCAGCTGGTCTTATCAGCCAGCTTATTCGCTGGCTTATAAGCTATGGTACAATATTTTTCTCTCTAAAAAATTAGCCATACAAATCAGCACCAACGGCTTTACAGCCAGCCGAACACTCCCCAAGGGATGTGTTGAGGATGTGTTAGTTAGGTGAGTCTTTTGGGTGGTAGAATATAGATTCACATTTTTGGGTTGTTAACCAAAAAAATTTCCGGAATGTAGAGTGGGGTACATATTGTAATCTATTGCCACCCTGCCCTTTTGCCCGGGATGGGTGTTTGGTTTTCCCCTGCTAAAGTTTAGTCCATGTCACATCGTATGTTTGACACTAATTTAGAGTATTAAATATAAACTAATTACAAAACTAATTACGCAAATTAAGACTAATTTGCAGGACAAATCTATTAAGCCTAATTAGTCCATGATTTGACAATGTGGTGCTATAGTAACATGTGATAATGATGGATTAATTAGACTTAATAGATTCGTATCGCGAATTAGTCATGACATCTACAATTAGTTTTATGATTAATATCTACGTCCGATGTGACACCTCCTAAACTTTAGTCCGGACGCTGCTGCGCGCATAAAGAGAGGGCGCGCCAGCCTATTTTCGCGCGCCCCACATGGACCCCACGCTGCTTCCTGTCCCTACCATCGCGCTCGCTCTACTTCGCCCAATGACTGTTGCGCCCGCACACGGGAAACCCACGTGGGTCCAGTCACTTGCCACGCCTGCGGATGCGCGCCGTGGACCTAGTAGCAGTGGTAGGTGTCTATAGCAGGTGGGTCCCATTGCAACTTGTGCAACATTCCGATCTACTTTTACAACATCCAGATGAAAACACTTGCAACATACAACTGAAACACTTGCAACATACGTCTGAAACACTTGAAAGCCATTGCAAATCCAGATATACTTTTGCAACATCTAAATGAAACACTTGCAACATACGTGTGAAACACCTGAAACACTTGAAACATATGCTTGCAACATGCATATTATGCAACATCCAGATATACTTCTGTAACATCCAGATGAAACACTTGAAATATACGTTTGAAACTAAAACATATGCTTGCAACATGAAACATACGCTTGCAACATGCGTATATAGCCTTTGCAACATACGCACATCCAGATGAAACACTTGAACAATATATCTGAAACACCTGAAACACGGCATCGCCGGCGGCCACGACCTACCTTGTGGGGAACTACGGTAACCAGCAAGCGGCGCTCGAGTGCAGTGGAGAGCGAGGATGGCGGCAGGCGGGCGGCTCAATGCGGTGGAGAGATGAAGGATGGCGCCAAGTAGGTGCCCTGGCGCGGCGCAGCGGTCATTGTGGACCACGTCTGTAGGATCACTGGAACGCCTAGAGAAGGTGAATAGGTCTATAAAAATTCAACTTAAACTGAAGTTAAATTCACCCGTGGCACTGCCGCTCTGTGAGCGCGGCACTACCGCACCTATAGGAGAGATTAGTTCACAATTCAAAATCTACCCAACGAAATTTAGATTGGGTAAATTTCTTAACTTCCTGTAGAGTAGTAGATCACAGATCAACAGCTGAAAGTGGTGGGAACACCACACACAAGTAGATCGGCCTCAAATTCTAGAGATCACCTCAGCAACAACAAGAATACAAGTGTAGCAACATAAGCACAAGATGACACAAGGATTTATCCCGTGGTTTAGCTCACCACCAAGGCTTGCTTATATCCACGTTGTTGAGGTATACCACTAAGACTTAGGGATTTGCAACCCTACCTCGTTCTCAAGTCAAGAGAGTAAACTCTTGAGATGAGAGGTGATTTTAATCGCTGCAAGAGGTGGTTACAAACCTCCCGGTGGTACCACAAACTTGGCAAGCTCACCGGGCGACGCTTTAACCGGCTAGGAGCCAAGCTCCAAGAGTAACAAACACCACCGCCGGCTAAGATGTGAACCAAGTGCTCTTTAGAGTTTTGGAATCAATGGAACTGCTCTCTATTCGGGTTTTGAACCCTTTTCCCTCAAGGATTGATGGGAAAATTAATGGATTTACTTGGGGGCTTGAAGTCAACAATGGAGTGAGAGAGAGAGCTCCTGCTCTGTTTTGGCGTGCTAAAGTGAGGAAGAAGAGAGCCGGTTGGTTACCGTTGGAAAGGAAGGGGAAAGGTATATACACCCCAGCCCCCAACGATCACTTTAAATCGCGGATAGCCGTTGACGAGAAAAGTGAAAGGTATATATACCCCCAGCCCTCAACAAACACTGCACCCAAGAGGTCGGCGCGAGACGAGGACGTGACCAAAGAGTCGGGCGAGACGGAGCCCGCGACCAAAGGGTCGGACGATCCGGAGCCTGCGACCTTGGAGTCGGGCGAGACGGAACCCGTTACCTTGGGGTTGGGCGAGACGGAGCCCGCGACCAAAGGGTCGGGCGAGCCAGAGCCCGCGACCTTAGGGTCGGGCGAGCCGAAGCCCGCGCCCAAGGGGTCGGGCGAGTCGGAGCTCGCACCATGCGAGACAGCAAGGGTAATAGTGAAGTGCAGACTGTCTTGGCTCTGAATCTGAGGATGCTTGTGGTTGTTTGAGCACTTGGTAAGCACATATTAGCTTAAGCATTGTGTCTCCCTTTATAGTATGACTTTTTCTATACTCAAATTCAATATATAAAAGAATTTAAACCTACTTTGAGTTTGAAGCCATCTACATTTGTAATTGGAGACTCCTCCGTTCCGTGTAGCATCATCGAATATAAATTCCCTGCTTGTCATCTTGATAAATCCCATTAGTTATCTAATTGCGTTGTCATTATCACCAAAACCCACAATTAAGGCTTGATTGCACTTTCAATGTCGGAATCCACGTCGACGCAGGCTCGACGGCGAGTGGTGGCGCCCCCGGCGAGCGGCCCTCGCGGTGGAGGCGGCGGCGGCGGTCAGGCGGGTGCGGCCTCCTACGGCAAGGCGCCCCTTGCTGCTGGAGAAGGTCGCATTGGGCTAGTGCTGTGCCCGCGGCGAGGCACCCCTGCACTAGAGAACATCGTGTCGAGTGGCCCCGCGCTGGCGAAGGCAAGCGACAGGCGACGCGGTGGAATCTACCGCGGCGGTCGATGGCGTGGTGCGGTGGTGAAGAATGCCACGACGGGCGAGCGACGAGGATTGAGAAATCGGCGTCCAGCAGTTGTTTTTTTAATAGAGAAGCGAGGGCATGTTGGGTCTGTCCGTTGCACTTGCATAGGCCTGGGAAGCCGTCATCCGGACGGCCTGGCGTCCTACAGGGAGCACTTCCGCACATTCATTGATGCAATTGACATGAATTATTCAGTATCTTTGCTGGGCTTATATAGCTATCTTATCTTATTTACATATGCGTTGCCTGCCTCTACGTGGACAAATCTTCAACGCACGATGAAGAAACTGAGCCAGTTGCAGCCATGAGTTCCTTATTTATTCGAACTGCAAAATTCAGATACGATCCTTTTGCATTTTCCTAATGCTAAATCCATTTTGATCGATCGGGATTGGAAACTATTTATACTGGAGCCAAACAAACATGATACATGTAAAAGCAACCACTAACCAGAACTGGCCACTGACAAGTCGGCCCAGCAGCCACAGTGCTTCGCACATGTGACTATGTAGGCCCACTTGTAAGAGACCACTCTAGCGTGGCATTGGACCCGTTGGTGCGTAGCACCTTATCACACAGTCCATTGGTACTAATAAAGCGACTGCCTGCTAACGGTGTGCCTGTGCGTGAGGCGAGGGGCACCATGCCCACGTGGAGACCGCGTAGAGCGGGGTGCCCTTCCACCCCAGCCACACCGTGCCGTCGTGGTCGTCCGCCACCGTGTAGCCTAGTCCCGCCGGGCACGCGCCGGCCACCAGCTGCGCGCGCCCCACACTGCCGGCTCGTAGGAACCCGTGCCGGGCGAGCTCCGCCTGCCAGCAGCCGAACTTCCCCGCCGCTCCGCGACGGGCCGCCGACCGCCAGCACGTTGCCGATCTCTCTGCCGAGCACGCCTTGCTCCACCAGGTGCCTGCTCGCGTCCTCGTCGCTCGGCCGCGACGCGCCCAGCGAGTCGAACAGCGCCGAGTAGTGGTGCAGCGCAGAGACGAATCGGTCCAGGAAGTGGCCGCGGTCGCCGCCGCCGCCACCACCGACGTCCCCGGGCGCTCCTGCTCGCTCTTGCTCCACCAGCGTCAGCACCTTGGGCTCCAGCCACTGCACCAGCTGCATCGTGGCGCCGTCGTCCCCAGCCGCGTCGTACAGAGCGTGCCGCAGCCAGTGCACGGCGAGGGCCTCCCTGGCATCCTGCTGGGCATGTCCGCCGCCGCCGCGGCGCCGACGACGTCCCAGGCCGCTTCGCGATGGCGTAGAACTCGAACGGCATGCTCAGCTTGCTCGCGAGCCCGGCGAGCTGGTTGCCGGTGTCGTGAAGCGCCGACCGCGACATGCCGAACCCGGTGACGCGGAGCACCGGCGGGCCTCCCGGCCGCGCCGCCAGAGCGGGCAGCAGCGAGAGCCACTGCAGCGCGCCGCCCGGCACCACGTCGAGGTCGACAATGTGGACCAGGCGCTTGCCGTGGAACGCCTCCAGGATGGCCTGGTTGCACGCCAGGTAGGCGAACCTCGCGAACGGCGAGACGTTGTAGAAGGCCCTGAACGCGGCGTGGACGGCCGCGCACGGCGGCGCCAGCGGAGCGCAGATGCCGACCCACGAGCTCATCAGCCGCGCCGCCAGGGCCTTGGTGAAGTAGGCCACGAGCCGCTCCCCGCAGGACGACGCGTACGGGGACGCCATCTGCGCCAGCTCCAGGAGCATGCTGTTGGCGTCCGCGAGGTTGCCCACCGACACGGCCACCGCGCTCTCCATGAGCAGCGCAATCATCCGGACGCCGTGAGCCTCCTCCTCGCCCCTGGCCGTCGTGGCGTCGTTTCGCTCCTCCACCTCCACCACCACCGCGCCATCACCTCCTCCCTCAGAGACCTCCTTGCTTACTGCTAATTCCTGCTCGCCGCTTACCTCCGCCGTTGTCGCCGGGTCGACGAACGAATCTGCCACGTCCTTGCCAGTGCAATTATCGACAAAACCTTGGTGATGATGAGGCAAGAAAGGGTGTGACAGTGGCTGGTTGGCGCTCCCAGCGCTGCCGCTGTAGAGGTACGGATCATGAAACTGCATCAAGCTTAGAGAATCTTGCATGTCTGAGCCTCTTCCTGCACTCATGAGCTAGCTAGGTGAATGATGGTCAGTCAGCTAGGGTTTTGCCTTTGCATAGTTGGAGAGATCGAGAAGGGAGCAAATAGAGCAATGGCTATTTGTATATATGGACTGTCCTAGAGTAAGACCGTGTCAAACCAGCCGTGTCAAACCAGAAGAAGTTACACGGCAGGAATCTGCGAAACATCAGCCTGATGATTCTTTAAGATGAATTCAGATTGGTTCCTAGGCTTGGCCGGCACTTTCAGCTGCTTGATTGTGGTTAATCATTGTTTATATGGGGGTTTTGCTTAAGCTCCGGTATTTTGTTTACTAGTTCCCAATCTCACTGAAAACTTAAGCAGCTAACTGCCCTGTGTATGTGGAGTCTGGAATGCTCCAGAAATTCAAAGAGAAATCCATCTTCTTTTCTTAATTCTTTTTTACTTAAATAAAAGGTCTCTGTATGAATGCATGTAAAGAACAATGTAGTTACCAGTTTATTAAAAATATTGACAACGACACTTCACACCTGGATGTTATCATATCAAAATCATGTCATTGTTGGGATATGCAAAATTTTAAATGAAAAAATGATAGGTTTCTCTTTCTTTGTTAAGTCCTAGAGAAATATAAAACTACATTTCACACTTGGGCATACAGAGAAAATCGAAACCGAGCCACCAGGACTCTAGGTTCCCACAAGGAGACAGCGATTAAAAATCAAATGAAGTGATTGGATACTTTTTCTAGAGTGCTAATATGTTCTAATGTCTTGCGTCTTGGAATCATAAAAAAAAACGTAATGAAAAATGATGAAAATCAGACCAGGTCTCTGGTGCTCCTCCCTCCCCTCTCCCGCGCCCCCCATATGCCATTGTCTATTGCAATTGATTTGAGGTCTCCTCCTATTGGTAGATGCAAAGAAAACAGATCATAAGAATAGGGAGCCTCAAATCAAGAGTCCTGATTTGAGGGCTCCAGATGGAGATACTCTAATTGTGAGTATATTCAGTAGCCAGCTACAAAATAAGTTATTCTGTAGCCACCTCCATTTACGATAATTTTATATACTAATTTACGATAATGTCAATACATATTTATGATAGTTGGGTTACTATAACACATGGGGATATTTACCATAACGTTATAGTAAACCACTTAGTAAGGAGTTACTATAATCTCGTAAATTAACATAGTAATTATCGTAACTCAAAGTGGCTATAGAATAAGTTATTTTGTAGCCAGCTACAGGTAGTACGGAGTATATATATATATATATATATATATATATACAACCATTTATGTATGGTGATATTATGAAAAATAAAACGAGAAGAAGATTCTGAAATTTACATAACTTTAGTAAAGGGAGAAGCCTTCTTATAATTTCAATGCTGAAAGTTAACTTCTGTATAGCAACTAAAAATGCACTAAGCATCAACATGAGAGATGCCAAATTGCCAATCGTAGGATTATTGTTGATGACTAGTGCACCCATGTATGTAGTATGTAACAATGACGTGTATATATAGTATATTCTCTGGTACTCCTAGGTCTAGGTGTTAATGGCCGGTTTGGCAGGGATTGACGTGAAGCCGTATGTAATGTACGTCGCGCTCATTCGTGCCTCCAAATGTCAAATTCATCGTTTTCTAGGTGCTAAGCAGTAAGCGAGCAAGCTACGGATTTGCTGTATATATGTACTTTAATTTGACCCGGTAAGAAGAAAACCTGCAGCTGTGTGACAAGGCTATTGGATATACATATATTTATGTGACACACACACACGGTGGATTAGATTGGCATCGCGCCAGTTCGGTACAATCATCCATGACAAAGCTGCTGATCGATCAAGCTGATGGCTACCGCTTGCTTTGTTTGCACATACATGGTGATATATATGCAGGAGATATCATCAGTATTACTACTACTATATCACGTGGACACAGCAGCCCGAGCAAGCAGCCGCTAAGCATAAACAAATCCAGGCTAGTTCATATATATCTCTACAACGTTCCAGCAGCTGGATATGCATGATGGCTACACCCGGGACGCCGGCCGGCCGGTGACCAACAAACTAATTAACCGACCAGCGTCATGCCAGCAGCGTACTCCGATCCGCGTAACTCCTGAAATCTATCGACGACTGCCTGTGCATATTATGTATGTACAGCAGGAGATATATATGTGAGTATATGATATATATATATATATATATATATATATATATATATATATATATATATATATATATATATATATATATATATATATATATAAAAGAGTATTACGTACGTACAGAGCTAGACAGGCCACGGAAACAGCCGGTGATGAGTAGTAGATCCAACCAAATCCAAGCTAGCATTGGTCATCATGTCTCTGTCCAATGCAAGTCGATCTCCATGACTTGATGGTTGGATATATATGTGTATCATATTCATATATGATGTGATGAAGATATATATTGTGCATGCCCATGGTGCACCTGATACGTAAACGATGGCCCTGCCAGTGGCAATGACGCACGTATTCGTGAATCTGTGGACTATAGCTACCTTGTTGTGTGTATCTATCTATGTACCGAGTAATAAATAACAAAATAATAAACGTGCCCCTCCTCCCCCACCTCCTCCCCCTCCGCGCCCCCACATCTGCAGTGCGCCTCGGCCGCCGGGGCCGGCGATGGTGGGGGCCTGACGCTGCGCTGCGACGGCCACCCACCGCGGGAGTAGGGGCCGGCGAGCACGGTGGCCCTGCCGACCTCCGAGCCCGGACCTGGGTCGTTGGCGGTGTCGGCCGGCGCAGGGGACAGCTGCTGCGCCACGCATCCGCCCAATCTCATCAGATCCACGTCGTTGGCGACCATGGCCGGCGCTCCTCTGGCACCTTTGCCGTCGGGCACCGTTGCCGCGCCCACCACGCCCAGGTTCTCGGCCGTGGTCGCCCCAGGGACGCACGCGGACTCTCGATCTGACGGCCACGAGTCCTCCGTGGTCCCATCGACGCAGCGGCCGACGAGCCCATCTCGGCCATCTCCGGCGCCACCTGCTACAGCTGCCCCGCCGTCGGGAGCAGACGACACCAGCACAACCAGATCTGCCGCGTCCACGCCACCCCCGTGACTACGGCCGGATCATGCCGCCGCCGCCGGCGCAGCACAGTGCGTGGAGGCTGGAGCTGGGGAGTGCACTGTCCCCGCTGCCTCCGACCTCGACGCCTTCCTCGTTCACCCGTCCGTCCCCGCTCCGAGCCCTCGTCCACCCTTTCCCCTCAAGCCGTGCCCTTCCATCCTGGGGGTAGCACGACGGGACGCTCCAAGGCCCGTCGTTGGGCAGACAACGACCTCCTCGACGACTCCGATGCGGAAGAGATGCCAATCTCCTCCACGACCCCCTACCTGGACGCGGTTCGTCAGGAGCCATAGCCGCCGAGGACGTCGACGCTGCCTGTGATGTCCCTACCGCGCACCCAACCTCTAGCGTCGAGCCATGGCGGTGCGACGGCGGCGGGTCACCAGGGTACTGGGTGAAGCCGGGGGAAACGCAGTCGGCCGCGCCCACAGCTGTTTGCATGGCATGCCGGCTCGGCCAGTGGAGGGCCGCATCCCGGCATGCCTGCGCCTCGAACGGCGTGGATGGGTCTCCGCCCCCAATGCCGATGGGTGGCGGGAGATCCTCCACCGGCAGGAGACGCGACCTGCGGCCGCCTCGGCTGGGCCAGGAGGGCTAGCAAGCGGAGGCTAGCCGACGAGTCATCGACCACTGAGGCGCATCCCGGCAGATCTTCACGGCAAATGCCTCAATTGCCTCTTCTCCGTGCATCGGGTGGCAACCTGCAAGCTGCCTCAACGATGTCTACGGTGAAGGGGATTTTGACACATTACGCACGACTGCAAGCAGCCAAGGCGCTTGGGCTCTCGGACCTAGGGCAATGCAATAGCCATGGGTCGCCAGCCGCAGCGCCCTCTTCGTGGCACTCGTTACCGGCTCCGCTGGGCCGGCAGACCATGGTGGCTCGCAAGACTCTGGTGGGGTCAAGTCGGACAACGCCGTTCCTGCCACCGGTGGTCGCTAGCGTCGAACGCGGAGGCGGCGCTGAAGACGGAGGCATCACGTGCGGTCGGCAGGGGCCCCACAGACAGCTCCGGCCTCCACCTCGGTTGCTGCTGAAGCTCAGCCTGGGCACGGTGAGCTGTCTAGTGAGACGGACATTGTCCAGCCTGACCCGTTGACGCTGACGCTATACCCGGACGCCACGCATGGTCGCGACATCATGGAGGACCCGATGTTGGAGGAGTTCGCAGCCTCGCTCGCCAGCAGTCGGATCGTAGCGTGGCCGTCTCTTGAGCGCCTGTCATCACCTCCGGTGGCCCCCCCCAACTTCAAGATGAGGCCCCGACAGTGACGGCCCCCCAACTGGAGGATGAGGACCCGGCGACAGTGGTCTCCTGTGCGTTGCGGACACCACCTCCGCGCCCCATTCACTGGGCAGTGGATTCACCGAACCTCACAGTGGATGCTGGCCCTCCTAGTTCACCGCCGGTGGATGCCCACCCGATCGAGGACAACGACAACTCTGCCAAACGCCGCCTCGATAACTTCAGCAACGAAGTGACGCGTAAGAGGGACTCTCCACTAATTTGTGAGCTTCCAAAGCAGCCTCCTGCTAAGCCAGAGATGTCGTGGTGGAGCAGGCGGTTGGCGGCTCAGCCCCTCTCTCGAGTACCTGCTTCCAAGCGAGGTGAGGTGCTGATCATGCAGCGTATGAGCTTCACCAAGGGTCCATTAGCGCCATCCGCGTCGGAGCTGGAGGCCTATGACAAACTCTTCGGCGGCGATTTGACTGCGTCCGAAGCTGAAGCGCTGGACGAGCTCTTCCCGGCTGTTCGGTCCAGGCAGCCTCAAGGACGCAAGGCCACCTCCTAGGTCGCGCCGTTGTGTCGGTATTGGTAGTTTTTTCTTTAATGTAATATCGAAACTAGAGGTCTCTTGCTATGATGG